AAGAGCCTTTGATACCCAGCAGAATTTGGATGGTCCATCCATTTGTCTGCCTGCCTGCTTGCTTCTATCACTCCTCTCTCCCAGTCCACTCCCTCCCTTCCTTCTCACCCTCCCTCATTTGATCCCTATTTAATCAAATTTGGACACCACCATCGTCTCCTTATCACGCATCTATAAATATTTAGACACTTCCTGTTAAGGCACAAAAATGGATTTGTAGAGACTTAAGAAAATAAGACAAAGGAGTGATAGAAATGTAATAGGATGGCATTGCTTGCTTATTTGTTTATCATTAAAACCCAACATTCATCGGGGGTTAACACAGTTTAGAAAAAGAAGCTTAAAACATTCATGGTAAGAAGAAAATCAGCATAAAATCAAAACACGCTAAAGAGCATGATTAATAAAAGAACAAGTCAACACATAAGTGTAGTTGGCAACTGAATCATCAGACTCAGGCTCATGAAAGTCTTTCCACTGCTTTGAGCCATTGTTGTTGCTCCACCACAAAACTAGACATTTTTGATTGAAGTTCCCTTTATGTTGTTTGCGGTGTGAACCTGCAACTCAGAGACGTCAGCATCCTAAAGCACAAAGTTGAAAAGCCAAAGAATGCCCTTGAAGTTCAACCTCATAACTTGTTAGATTTCATAGAAGAAGCTGATGACAGGTTTTAGTCAGACTTATGATAACCATGATAATTATAGTAGCAGAGGTGGGTTCCGGCAGTCACTACTGCCAGTTTGCTCATGGGGGCGTACCCCCTCCGCATGCGCGCGCGTGCACAGTGCAATAAATAAAATTGTTCTGTGCATGCGCAGAAGCAAAAAAACAAGATGGCGCCTATGGCACCGCCCAGAGAACTGATTTGGAGCCATAGCAGTCCTTGGTCACTGCCGGTTCCAGCAACCCAGGCCGCCAAATCACAACCAGTTTGGACCGGTTTGGGTGAACCGGTAGGAACCCACCACTGTATATTATGGTATAATAAAATGCTGGTGTTTCTAGAAGACTTAAAGATGCAATGTTTGAATAAACTTCCACAGATTATTCGTGATATTTCATCTCAGGCAACTATCAACAGTGGTAATGGCCATGGCAACTGCTAGGCAAATTCCTAAGCGTTCTATTATAAATGTGGCCTTTTCAGACTGATTCTGCCTTCAGTGCTTTTGAGTGTCTGAGTTGAAAAGGAAAGATTGTGGGAAATATTATTATATGATTCAGAGCTCTGTACTGACAAAATGCTGATGAGCCACTGACATCTTGAACTTTGACAGCAGATGCTCTTTATGAGGGGACACAGTTTGGTTTTGGTTTTTTGGTTTTATTGAACATTTATAGGCCGCCCTTTTCCTGAGGGGACTCAGGGCGGCTTACAACAATGGGGGGAAGGGGGTGCAGGACAAAACATAAAAGATAAACGTGAGTAAAAAAAATTAACCATAAAACACAACATTCACTCGGCATTCGGGCGGGGTGAGAAT